TAACATTGTTTCCTATGGGAAAATCAGTTCTGAGTTACAACATTTCAACTTAAGACGCGGTTTTCAGGAACCAATTGTGTCGTCTGTCCAAGCACTGCCTGTATTTCCTTGTGGAACCTTCATGGGTTTGGGGTTTTTTTTTGTAACAATAAAAAATGGTTGTACAGCTGAATGCTCACTTTTTGCTACATTAAAAGAGCATAGGTCTTGCTAGAAATATAATGCTCATCCATTGCCTTAGTTTGTATTCTGTAACTTAGTTTTCAGTCTCAAAAGCCTGAAGTTTATATTAAAGAAATTAGAAGAATAAACTTGCTGTTTCCTAGCCACATTTTTTCATCCGAGGATATAGGGAGATCTGAAGTATTAACATTCAAAAAGCATTGTTAATGTAATTAAGTCCAATAGCAGCCCTAGTCCTTTGTTTCCCAAGTCCTCACAGATAAGCTTTCTTTTACATCCTTAAATACACAAAGAAGGTGCCTTTTGTCCATGAGTGACATCTTCCATTTGAGCCACCACGCTGCATCTCCAACATTGGTAGCAAGCACATCACAGATAATGACTGGATCACAAGTTTGTCTAGCATTAAACTGATGGAGAATGGCTTCAGAATTAATTTATTAACTGAAACAATAGCACAAATAAGGAAGTTACTGTGAACAGAGCAGAGAAACTATTAGATAAAAATACAATTTTCTATTTAACTGAAATAGAAGGTCAACAGATGCATTTAAAACGTTCTGAGTGGCTATTCCACTTTATAATTCTCTGGTGAAAAAATGCTTTTTAATCAGTTTGTAGTTAATTGGTTTTCATTGACTGCCTTTGCCCATGCTGCCTCAATGGTGTTTGTGTAGAATAAGTTAACTACAATGATCTTCAGTGGGATCTCATAAACACTGTCCCAGTCTAAATGGATTTTGTTCCAATTCTGGTTTAAGAATCTATTATAAAATATTGTTGCTATGCCTCTCCCCCGACGCCCAAACTCTTTACATTTTATTTCTGAAAGTTTTCAAGGTATTTCAAGGCAACAGTTTTACTATAACTGATATCTGATGGAAAATCATTAATTTAGTAAAATTTTCAGAAGGTCTTTATTAAGACACATAATCTGTGTGGTTAGTACTTCTTTCCTCAATGATTTAACACGAACAAAAACTTTCCCACCTTTTAACACCCCTGTTTCATTAAAGTTACTAACAACAAATGTAAGAGCACTACTCTTCAACAATTTAGAGCTCTTTTCAAGGTAACCACTTCCAATAGTTCCAGCTTTCTAGATCTTTCTTATCATCCTTTGCTTATACAGGTATACTGGAAAGGTTCTGGTCTGTAGTGATTTTACTCCTGCTAATCTACATACTGACAGCAAGTTTCAACAAAGCCTTATTCATTATCTCATTTCTGCAGTAGTGTCTTAAGAGAATTTATCAATCTGCTTCAATTCCAGATAAAAAGTTACTTATAAAAGGTTATATTATTCTTACAACTTTGTATCCTTATGTGCAGAATTGTTTAAGATTGCACAATAAAAATAAAACACAAGATATTTTTGGCAGATTTATACCAGCAAAAGCTGAGGACAGTGTTTACAAGTACAAACACCAAAACAAATATGGTCTCTAATTGACCTTCTTTAGCAGTTTTCAATTGTGAAGTCACTTTTTGGTCACAAGTTTTCATAGTGTGGGCCCCAATAGATTCATTTCAAAACAGTGACTTCAGTTCCATTGACTTAACGGGAGTTTTTGGTGTGAGGGGATGACAAGACTGTATCCATGAATACCTCAGAGTAAGTCTGGTCTACAAATACGTTAAGTTTATAATTTAGCCTCTTCCTTATTTGCGTCAAAAAAGTCTCGAGTTTAGAAGGTTACATTTTTATTGCTTTTTCAACATCTAAAACAACAAGGGGAAAGAAAAAAAATAAACCACTTCAAGAAATTTAGAATGCCATAAGGTGTTCCACTAAACCATGCAACCCAATAAGGGAGCACTTGGCAGGGAAGATGCTGTTCCACATGAATACAGGTTTCTGAATCTGGCTCTATACCTTTTACACTAATAGCACTCTGTTTACAAATAGGCTTTCAGCCCTCAGTACTGTAAATGGATCATAACTTCTTGCTGATGGGACGTATTTCTCTAAAATGCTCCCACATAAAATGAACACATCTCGGGGGGGGCGGGGGGGGGGGGGGGGGGATATTCAGCGTGAA